CCTCGAAGAAATCATACACCATGCAAGGTTAAAATAAAAAAGAGATTTTTAAATGATACAGCATCTGAGTCCTCATCCTCGTCTGAATCTGGGTCTGACTCTGAACCGTCTAATGATGAAGAAGATTTTACTATGGGTGTGGTGAAAGTGAAGAAGCATGATTAGTTCTCATCATAGAGATGAAATGGTCTCGCTTGCTCATAAGGAACCCCCCTGGGCCTGTAATTGACCACAACGTAATTCTGTGTCGGAGAAGTATTGCTATTGGGGTTGTGCCGTAAACACTCACCAGCAATTGTCATAAGATGGCCTGAATTCTCTGCTTTGTGTACTACAGCACCATATACCGCCCCCAATTTACGTAAGTATTTAGGAATTAAACCATAGTCTTTTAAGAATCTATTGAACCATTTAACCCCTGGCTTGCCGGGATTACCCATTCGACCAGAAGATATAGTGTTCTGAATCCAGGTAAGTAATTCCTTAGCTCGTTCTTGATCCTTCTCCATAGATCTAAATTTTCGAGGTATATCTGGCTGACCCCTGTTTTTTGCATAACCCGTCACACCAGCATCTGTAATACGTAAAGATGTGAGTTCAGCGGGACGGATACAAAGCATTATCATAACATCTGCAAGAGCTTGTACATCAGGTACAGTAGATGTATCATAACTATCCAATCTCTCTTTGACCGATTCTAATGTAAAATGATCTGGATAATTAATACGTTTGGTTTCAGCCTTTTTCCGATTATTCCTCTGGATTTTGTTAGCATCTTCTGTAATATCTGGAAATTTCGTGGCCTCAATGATCTGGGATGAAGCACCAATATTTCTTAATTCTTTCCGAAGCCTTGAAAGACGTGACGAACCGGCATTAGCATTTTTTGCTGATAGGGCTAAGGCATAAGCTTCAGCTCTTATATCCCGAATACTAAGCTTATCCCGTAAAAGCCGATGTGCCATCTCTCCAATTGTTTCTTCCTCCATTCCTTTTGAGAGTCGATTGGATATCGCAATATTTACTGCGGAGCAGGGCACTTTATGCCTGGTCTTACTTTCATTTTCCTGGGTAGAGAATAAGGCATTCACTCGATCCTCACTAAATCCATATCTATTTTGCAACATTCGTTTTGTTATCTCTCTGATAATTCCCTCTTCCAAATCTTTGGGGGGCGAAGCTATAGCTATTTTGCAACTGCCCTCGATAATATTTATAATCTTGGCCTTACTACCTCTCTGATTAGGTATTAATATACTTACCTGATCACCGCTAAATCTAAAACCGTCTCGAAGGCGTCGTCGAGCTTGATTCCGCTTTCTATCATCAGTAAGGTTTTCAAGAAATTCTGAGGTGTATTTACTGAGATCAGACACACTCATCTTGGGGTTAAGATTGTATTTTTCAACGATTTTAGTTACGATAGCTGACATGATCTAATGTTATAGTAGGTTGGGTAGGTTATGGACAGTTCTTTAGGTTATATACACTATAAAAAATATTTTTTCAAATCGAAATTATTTATCCCAAGTTGATATAGCTACAGTATACCCAAAAATTGAATGGGTTACAGTTCACGTAATTATACCGGAAAATGGACATGAGGAAGACACGAGATCGATCGAAAGTTTTGGAATCCGTAGCTTTACATAATAAGATAACCAAAAATATAGAAGGTATCAAAGAGGATATAGCATTGCTTAAAGAGATTTTGGAAAAAATAATCAATATACTGTATGTCAGGTATATGATACACGTCAATGCCTTGGGTCAGATATGACGATTTAAAATTTACCAATACATAGGATATAACGAAAAAATTTATAGCTTCGAGTTGTGGCGACTCAGGCTATATTAATCGATTTATTGTTACCATATTTTTACAATGCTTGGAATAGATTCCGGTATGTTTCTATACTTATAAACCATTTCTTGTAAATATCGGGTCTATTTTCCATTATATCAATTGGTAAGGTTATGACAATGGGGGGGGGGGGGTTAATACCTCTTTTTATAACGAGATTTGCGTAACTGTTTACTAAATTAGACGCAATTTATTTATTATTATTTGCAATTGCAAAGTGATGCCATTTTAAACTTCATATTAATATGTAATTTTGAGATCAAATTTTTAAATTGTATCAAGGCCATTTTTGCAGAACAATTGGGCTGTTGATTGAGGAGTGTGCACGCACATGAAAATCCTTAATGTGTGCGTAGGGAAATGTTTTTAAACTTACAAATTTAAAGACACTTCCTGTGCGAACACACCTGTATTCGCTCACTTCCCACTTTCTGCTTGTTCCGACAAAGAATGTTCTGTCTCTATTACAATGGAAGATTTAACTATCTTAATACACATGTAAACTTGATACAAACCTTAGTTCAACGGTCTTGCTAGATGGCTACAAATTAAATTTTTCGTAAAAGCTAGATAATGCATAATCAAAAGACGCAAAATAAAGCTTTGTTGTATTATTGACACCGACACCTTCCGTAATGATG